GCAAAACAATCTTTCCTTGAGTTAAATCAGTAAAAGTAGACCTTGCAGAAGGGTACATGAAAACATCCCACTGCTGCTTGGTCCAGAGTTGTGTTCCAGTGCTCTACAGACAGAGCTGAAGCATCTGCTGTGTGTCTGCAGCGGGTCCGCGCAGTGAGTCAGTAGCAGAGGGAGCTTTAGAAGCTGTGCTCTGAGTGTCTGCCCTGGGTGACATGGCCAGTGCATCGCTCCTGGGTTCACTCCCTGTTCTGTGCAGGGAGCGGTGGGCACACTTGAGGGTTACAAGAAAGGCTGTGAACTGAAGGAGGGATTAGTGTTCTGCCTTCTCTGATATTAACTCCTTTAGGTATCAGAGTTTCCCTTTGCTACAAAATGTTAAAATGTAACCACCATCTAGTTAGTTATACTGACAAGTATTATTTTTTTTTTAATTGCTTTAAGTTCTTTGCTTCTTGCTCACCAAGAAGTTAACAACATCTTACAGAGGTGTTACTGTAGTATTTTATTGAAGCTCTTTTCAAACTCCAAATATGTCAGAGAGGATTTTTCTGTTTGGAAAGGTGGAAATGTTCAGTGAAATAATGTATTTATTTCTTCATTTCCTGAAATATTTCAGATCCAGACTTGAAACTGTTCAGGTGTATATAAAGCATGCCCTGGCAGGAAGCCCTGCCTGTAGCAGCTCCTACTGAGGGAGTGAGCTCATCCCCGTTCTCAGGGCAGGCACTTGAAGGATCTACTCTAGAAGAAAATGCAGTGTTTGGGTAGACATCTTCTGCCCTTCCTGTCACCAATCTTGCGAGGCCAACCAGATAGATTGGAAAGGAAAGTCAGGAACCACCCCAGGGCTGATGATGTCAACTTGCTCCATTCTGTTGGGTTTGACCTACTATTGCCTCTGTGTAGCCAGCCTTGGATGTGATTGTTTGTGACTGTCCCACTCGGATGAGCACTACTGCATCTGCCTCTGGCTTGTTAAACACTTTGATGCTTTCCATGGCTCTAGGAGATCCTGAAATTGAATAGGAAGAACATACACTTCTAAATGAAGAAAAAAAAAAGTTTGAATAGCAGTAGCCCATATTAGTCTACATATAGCTTTTGAAGTCCATCCAATACTTACTGACACTTGAAATCTGCTATCCTTTTGTTTGGCTCCTTTGAGGTGCCCCCAATCTGCAATTGTACTTCGCTGTCCACTTGTGCAACTGCAATAAGATGAGACCAAATGCGTAATTGCTGTGTTTGTGAGTGGACTGTTGCACACTTGTCCATCAGAGAGCCAGAGTTCTGCCTCAGACCTCGCTTAATCACGCTAAGGTTTGTGAATTGTCTGAACCTATTCAAGAATAATCCTTGTGCTGCTCTTCTTTACAGTGCTGTTTGACCAGTTTGTTGACATTCCTGTCAGGGAGGTGAGAAAGTTTTTGGTTATGTCCTTTCAGCGTTGGAGAAAAAAGGACTGTAGCATTCATAGAATCATAGAATAATAGAATCATAGAATGACCCGGGTTGGAAGGGACCTCAAGGATCATGTAGTTCCAACCCCCCTGCCTGGCAGGGCCACCAAACATACACATTTACTAGATCAGGTTGCCCAGGGCCCCGTCCAACCTGGCCTTGAACACCTCCAAGGATGGGGCATCCACAACCTCCCTGGGCAGCCTGTTCCAGGGCCTAACCACTCTCCTAGTAAAGAACTTCCCCCTAACATCCAACCTAAATCTTCCCTCCTTCAACTTGTATCCATTTCCCCTAGTCCTGCTATTGTCGGCCCTTTCAAAGAGTTTACTCCCCTCCTGGGTGTAGATTCCCTTCAGGTATTGAAAGGCTGCAATGAGGTCACCCCGCAGCCTTCTCTTCCCCAGGCTGAACAAGCCTAACTCCCTCAGCCTGTCCTCATAGGGGAGGTGCTCCAGCCCCCTGATCGTCTTCGTGGCCCTCCTCTGGACCCTCTCCAAAATCTCTATGTCTTTCTTGTACTGAGGGCTCCACACCTGGACACAGTACTCCAGATGGGGCCTCACAAGAGCCGAGTAGAGAGGGACAATCACCTCCCTCTCCCTGCTGACCACCCCTCTCCTGATGGAGCCCAGGATCCCATTTGCTTTCTGAGCATTCCCTGATGGTAGTTGTGAATGTTGGTTCCTGTGAAATTCTGACATTGCTGAACAGCCTTTTTAAAATTTCTTTGTTTGCAACCGTGCTCTCCATTGAAAGAAAAGACAATAGATACACTAGATGTGTCAGGAATTTCCTTTGTTATACTGATGACAGGCTAGTTCTATCTTTAGCCTTGTATTCCGGTATTGCAAGGTCCAACCCTCCGTTTATGAGGATAGGTATGAACTGGAGGAAGAGCTTTCCTAGCAAAAACTTTGTTGCTTGTACTCTGCAGCTATATCAGTTGATTGACTCAAATATGTTACTTTGCCTTGCAAGTCTTGCCCTTCTGAGTGAAGGCAGAAGGTTGCCAGACGCTAGATATAAATAACATGCTGGTCGTCCTATGGAAACTCTATGTGTGTTTGCTTTGTAAGCATAAGGTAATGTATTCCTGTGTGAAAGCGGGGTAGACTGCTGCTCAGTGCTGCAGGTTAAGAGCTCATTTAGCAGTTCCTGCAAGGCAGTGAACACGCTGTAGATCTGCACCCTGGTTTCCCATGGTCGTTGTGGATATGATTACAAGACTATCAAAGTGGAAATTCACCGTGTAGTACAGTGCGTCTCGCTGTGTTATGAGCTGGCGAGTATAACCTTTCTGAACATCCAGTCTTCCTCCAGCATTACTAATATCTTCCACTGCTTTGAATGTGCCAGTATCAGAAATCTGCAAGGCAGCTTTTGCAATATATAGAGCACGAGGTTCCTCTCTGTTCACAGGGTACAAATACTCTTCCAAGTGACCAATGCCTCAGGAACCTGGAGGCTTATTGGAATTTTTACTGCAGGTGCTCGCAGGAACATCTGACCTGAGGGCAAGTAAAACCTGTTCCCCTTTACAGTGCGTAAAACTCCATGGCCTCCTCCCTCATACATTATAAATCATCTATGGTGTCTAATCCTCGTTCTTTTCTCTTCTCAGGACAGTATAAGTGATCCCCTGAAATTGCCTTGAGCTCTGTAATGTAGGCAAGAAGCTGGTGGCAAAAAGAGGGGAGTTTGTCTGGTGGAGTCTAGAAGTTAATCAGACTTGTAACCCTTAGGACTGACAGGAGCTAGGGCTTTCACAAATCTCTGATTTCTTGGGACTTAGGATCTCCTGTTACAATAACTCTTGTCAACATCACAGATTTGTTTGAGAAGTTTGCTGGGTTTACTTATTTATTAGAATTTTATGTAATTAATGAGACATTCTTTGGGGTTCCATCCTCTACTTACTGCTGGGATCACATACCTTGTGTCTCACAGGCATACTTTTCAAGCTATCATTGAATCCTCTACAATTTTTATCTTCTTTTAACTTAGGGTTTAAATCAGAGTTAACAAGATAGCTCTGTTCCTTGGCCATGACAGCACCTCCGTCATTCTCTTCAAAGTTTAGTGTCTTGCTATCCTTTTGAGCTTTCAACTTGCTTTTCTCTGAATGCATAAACTCAACTACTGTTTGCACCATCCTGGGTTGGACTTTTTTAAGTTTTAAATTGTACTTAAATTGTACTTTCTCAAGCTGTGGCCAGTATCAAATGCTTTATGGGAAGGTGCCTGGTACCCTGAAGAATATTTTTACTTTACCAAAATATAAACCCTTCTAATCCAGACCACATGTTTTCCAAGGAGGTGAATGTTCTCCCAGGATACATGAGCATACCCAATTCTTTTTCTTTTGGTTTGGTAGTCTCTTGGACTTACTGTTAATGTGCGTCAGTGAGCAAAAGCTAGCCAGTAGTGTTTGTCTCAGATTCCAAACCTATCTCTTTCCGTTCCCTTGCTGTTAATGTGTTTTTGATAGTTTCAGCATCCTTCTGCAAGCTTAAATACACCTCCCCTGGCTGCCTTCCCTTCTGCTGATAGAGAACCAGAGTCAGGTTCTTGATGTCATCCTTCAGGCTTCTGTGTTCATCCATGAGATCTCAGCTGAGCTTCCCTCCTTCCTCCCTACCATCCAGTCTGCTCTCATTGCCTCTTTTGCATATGTTGTCAGCTCTTAATTGTTATTCCTTAGTGTCTGTCCTTATCTAAAAATGTGTTCATTCTACAAAACAAAGCTGTTAAAGCTTTATGCAGTCCTCCTGGTTGTTCTGTGCTACTCTTGTATGTGTCCCTAGGTTGTAAGTTCAAGCCGGGGATGCTGTTTGCCTGCAGTTCCTTGCCGAGCAAGCTGTGTACGCTTCCTGTGCTCATATATCCAGTGATCCTTAAAGAGCTTTAATGGCCTCATGTGACAAGTGTTGCGAGTATGCTGTACTGTGCTTGCAGGGAGGCTTGAGCCTCTGAGTATAGACCCGAGAGTTCTCAAAACTCCAGGCAAATCAGTTCCAGAGCCTTGCTTAAAGTCCTTTTTAGCTGTGTCGTGGCAGTAGAAGAGAGAGGGAACGTAACGTTGTTGTAGAAGAGATGGGAAGCAGAATAGCACAGAGAAGGTGGACAGCCTTTTAAGCACTTAAAGCCAGGCAATAAATGTGGCTGGGAGCCATTGATTGCTTTCTGTAGTGTCTTTGCCTATTCCTAGCTGACTTACGCTATGTAAAACTTAATTTGTGGGGTTTGGGTATGATTAAAGTGGCATTATGAGAGGGCAGAACCCTCCCATGATATCAACTTTCCACTGAGTTATTTAAAAAGCTAGGTTTTTTTTTTTTAATCCTGTGATGGGTCATCGTTTTAAAACTAGTAAATTTTCTCATTGTAAGAACAAACATCCTTTTATAGTATCCACATGCTGCTGTTTTTACTGGATCCTGCATAGAGCTATTTCCTATTTCTAATTGTTCACTCACACTCGACAGCTCTGGCGTGTTCATGTGCTTGCTCTCTCTCTTTCTTTCTTTCTCTCTCAGCTTTTCTCGCCTTGTTCTATTATTGTGACTTGGGCGAGACGACGCCAGCTTTCAGTGTTCGTTGGGCTGCGAGGAGGAATGATCAGCTACTTCCTCTGCCTGCGAGAGCATGATGTCAGCAGCTACTCTGGGTTGCTTTACCATCTGCTGCTGCTGTTGCTTTGGTGTGTGTGGAAAGAATGTAAACAGCACTTTCCAGATGTTCTCAGGGCAGCTGGAGAGCCATAAATGGACTGTTTGGTTCAGGAGTGTTACTAGTCTATTTAGGACATGGCAGTGAATAGAGTCATAAAAACATATAGCTCCATGCGTATCCCGTGCACAATCACAGTGGGTGGTTGGAACGATTAAGTGATTGCATAGCTTGTTCAGGATTTGAGCTGGGCAAGTGAACTGTCTATAGACCTGCTCCCGTTCCCTCTCTTACCCTTTATTCCTCCAGCTTCAACTCCCGAATGAAACACAGCAACAATGTCTGAATCTCATGCAAGGCAAATACGGTTTTGTTCACGCAGATTGCCTCCAAGTTGTAAGTGATCTCAACAGATGAAGAGTGAAGAAAAGAAAGATGATCTGGTTTTTAAACTCAGTGTAATATTTGCTGTAGTAGGAAGGAGTGAATAAACATGGGGGTGTTTCTTCTTGGTGCAGTATACAGTAGGAATTTGGGAGCTGGCAGCGCTCATGCCTCTCCAGGGCTGGAAAAAAGCATCAATCTCACCCACTTGTGGTATATCCAAAAAAAGTCTATTTGGGGGAGAACCAGTCACTTCCTTCTCTAGGGTGTGTGTGTGTTTTTAATGCATTAATTAATTTTTATTGAGTGGTGGAAAAACTGATGTCAGAGCTACATTGCGGCTGGACGTGCAGGAACACAAGGTTGTAGGAAATAATACAGCTAACATCGTAAGGGCAGTGAAAGTTTAACCATGGAGGGTTTAAAATAGTAAAGCTGAGCCATATGGATATTAAAAGATATGACTGAATCAAAATAACAATCTAATATTAAACTAAGTTTTGCTGGGGGAGCAGCAAACTTTTTGGGTTAATTTTTCTTGTGTATCCAGCGTCTAAGGGAAGGTTTCTTTATCTCAACACCTTGATCTCTGACTTTGGTGTTGTTGGTTTCTGGCTATTGCAGGATACAGACTACAAGGGGCAATATAGGTTCTGTCTCACTGTTCTGGGGTTTTTTTTTTGACAGACCTCTCTATTCAGGAGTCTGTAGACTATCTTTTTCCTTTTACGGTGGTCTATAAACTTGTCCAGCGTGACTTCTTCCCTGGCACCTCTCACAGTTCAGATTGCACAGATCCATGACAGCAAGGCGGAGGGAGGTGAAGCCAAGTGCTTTCGAAATTGGAGCCAAGTGCTTTGGAAATTGGAGCCAAGAAGGAGCGCAGTTACATAATTGTACAAAAGAAAAAGGATTTTTCCTTCTCATATCCTCCTGCAAACTGAAAAAATGTTGTTGGAAAGCTGTACAGAAAAACTTCAGCATCATTCATCCCTGTAGGGACATGAAGTGTATTGAAATGTTCCACCTGTTTTATGGCTGTTGCTTTTCCTCTTTCAGGTTTGACATCTACAGGAAGGTGCCAAAAGACCTTACACAGCCAACCTACACAGGGGCTATTAGTAAGTAACACTTCTTTTTGATGTCCTTGCATACCCCTGGTCTAAAATTAAAGATCATTTGGCTTCTCCGTCTCCAGGAATTTTTTTTAAAAGGATATGAAACACTGGAAAGGGTATCCTTTGTTGCTGACACAGCTCATTTTGCCCAGCCTGTCAGGTCGTACTAAATGGCGGAGTAGCATGGATTCAGAATCTCAACAGCAAAAAAGTGGTAAAGATATATTGTCATGAAAGGGAGCTCCTAAAAGCTAAGAGCTGAAATACTCTGCTGGCTGCTGAAGTAGCTAGAGAGCTTTTGGCTAGTGTCTTCCCATGAACAGAAGCTGTGAGTCTGCTCCAAACACTGGTGGAGGGGATGACTGGATTTTTTTACCACTCTCTGATAGGCATCCCCTTGGTCAGGGTGAAAAACATCTGGTAACACTTGGATTCACAGTTACTGTGCCCAGGCACTTGCTTGCTGAAGAGACTTGAGCAAACTACTGCAAACAGGGAATCCTGGTTCTGGATCAGTAAGGAGCAGTGTGGGTGGCAATATGCGGTGGCCAGAGGTGAGGATGATGTGGGAAACACATATTTCTCTCACAGGATAGCCAAGGGATTCATCTGATGTTGTAGGTGGGACTAATGAACAGTGATCTTATTTTGTTGTTATTTGTCATGCTTTTAACAAAGAAAAATTGCTTGGTCAGAAACCACCGATAGGGATCCACTCTCACTCCGGTGTATCAATACGTAGACTTTGGCTGATACAAATCTCTTGCCTTGGGCCCCTTTTCCTTCCTTCCTCCTCCTGAGAGAGGCTGTAGGCTGAGTAATGCAATTTCCCACAACTATGCAGTGAGCGCACTGTGCAGAGTGGTAAACATTGATCAGGTTGATCCTGCCAGGGCTGTAATTAGACGCCTAATGCAGCTTTCCTGTTCCATTGAACAGGGACTTCCTTTGATCGTGTAGCTGTGCTCCATTCATCCATTCTTGTAGATGGGTCAGTAGCCTTGTATGTCATTGCTGACGTGAGTGATGTCATATCCCTTGGTGACAGCAGGCATCAAATAGAACTGAGTCAGTGGTAGTGAATCAACAGACACAAAAGAAAGCTCTTTGTGAGCTAAAGAAACTTCTCACACCTCACTGTGAGGATGGTCGAAGACTGGAATAGGTTGCCCAGAGTTGTGCGGAGTCTCCGTCCTTGGAGATACTCAGAACAACTAGACCCGTCCCTGAGCAACCTGCTTTAGCTGCCCCTGCTTTGAGCAGGGGAGTTGGACAGGATGAGAGGCCCCTGCCTGCCTCAACCGTTCTGTGCTTCTGTGAAGACAGGACCTTACTCTCAATATTTACTTTCAGAGAGTCCTTGTCCTCTGCATTCTGACCACTGAATTACTTGTATGTTGACTGGCTTTCAGATTTGCTGGAACCATGAACAAAGGGCTTGAATAAAACTGTTTGCTAATTTAGAGGCGTATGAGATTTAGTGTTCTGAAAGAACACTTTGAACTTGTTAGTGATCCTGCCTTCTCTTCTGTTTTGGAAACTAAGAGTTCCCACACTATAACTAGGCTCCCTTTGAGAATTTCTCTTGTTATGAATCACCTGCAAAAGAGTATGTTTTAGAAACAAAAAAACCATCAAAGGCCGTCCAGTCTTACGCTTTCTGATCTGCAGTAAACATCTCAAGCGATAAGTCTGTCGTGGGAAGGCTTGAAGGCTGTGACTCTTACTTAAAATTATTAGCTGACTTATTTCTCTCTATTGTTATTTGCACCTTCTCAGGCTTTGATTTCTTCTCTAACTGGTTCTCCTTCTTTTTGTCAGAGTGTTTTTAGACAGGGCTGATACAAGCTTTTGAACCACACAGTCAGCCAGCAAACTCTGGTGGCTTTGCAGGTGAGGATCTTATGTGCAGCTTTCCTAATGGGCTTTCTGTCTCACCGAGCCTGGGACTTGTAATTTGAAAGCCAGTAATTGTGCATGTTGTAGGAGGCTGTGAATGAGACCAGCCCATTGCCAGGCCAGTTTGAAGCCTGGGAAGATTGCATGATTTTGTGATAAAAGCTTTAGGGAAGTCATCTTAGGGGCTTGGGGGTAGGGGAAGGCTCTGCCTCATAAAAAAAAAATCTCTAAGGGTCTAGTAAATATGTGAAACAATTATGGTTGCTACTATGTTCTAGCTTTCTTTAAGTCTTGCAAGGTTTACAGAGCAGATATAAAACAGCCGATAGTAGCTGACTATTAATTCAGGCCTTTCCCACATGATTTCTGCTGAAATTGTAGTTCAGTGTCACTTCTGGTTCTGAAGGCTTTCTGGAATAGGAATGGATTTACTGCAGGATTCCTACAACTGGATTTGGATTGTAAAAAAGACTTTTTTTGAAAAATTTCAGGTTTGTTACGGAAGGAAGAATAGGTCAGATTCCAGAAGAAAAGAGGTAGAGTGTACCAGCTCTGCCTCTGACCACCAGGGCTAAAGTGGGCAGCTCCTCTAGGAAGGAAGCAGCTCAGGGAGAGTAAGTGTTAGGGTATTTTGGTGGAGAAGAGCAGGCAATCTCGAACACAAGGAAGCCAAGTGGAGGGTTATTGAGGCTTTCTGCTATATATGGTTTTGTAATTTCAAAAGTTACAGTGAGCACGGCATACAAGATATTTCAGATCTGTGTAACAACCCTTCCAGCTACTAAAAATTAGTACAAGAACAGTCCACTGCACTTTGCTGGAGTAGGTTTGTGTAGAACAACATACCCACTGCTGTGGGCTTCTCTGAAAAGTGTGCAGAACTTACTCATTCTTTTTTCTCCAGAAAAATCTCTTCTTTCAGGCAGCATTGCGATCCCTGTGCCACTCAGCCAGACATGCCATTGTTGTCCCTCTTCCACCAGATGCTTGTGCCAGTCTTTGCAGGCCTTCCTCTCCCTGTGTAACATGTCTGTGATGCCAGTACACGGCCGTTCTAACAGATCTGACTAACGTGGTGATAACTTGGCCATGTTTGGGTATGTAAGCAGCAGCAGCACATGCCCTGGCTGGCTGACAGTTGGCATCTGGCTGGACAGGAGCAGTCTGGCTTCTCGAGAGAGGGGCCTGCAACTCAGACAGCTGCTGTAGCAATCCTGCTATTTAACAGTCAGTGTGGATGCATAGTTTGCATGCACATGTTGTATGCACACATGGTAATGTTATCCAGAAATACTCTGTGCTGTTTGGAGGCTGGAGTTTTAAATACACATCAGGAAATATCAAAGTTATGATTCACATGGCATCTGTAACAAGACCCGTTCCTTGCACTTCTTAGCAGTTTGCTCCATTGACCAATAAATACTATTAATTTTATGCCTTAATATAGACATGGATCCACATTCTCTCTCTGTATGATGTGTTAAACATTTCGCGTTTCTTTCATTTCTTGTGGGGTGGGGAGGAAGAGTCAAGCATGTACATAGATGGGGGTATGTATCAGGAGGGATAAGTACAAAAAGATTAGGTTGTCGAAACTGGTGTAAGGAAAAAAAAGCTTGGGAGAATTTCCCATCCTTTTGGGGTTACTGATTAGCCAACAGCAGTGTGTTCCAGTGTGTCTAGCACCAGAAACCTTCAGTGTTTTGATCATGTTATCATATCAGAGTTTTAAGAAACGTGTCTTAGATGGTCCTTCGAGCTCTGTGGGAACATTGCAGTGCTCTTGCAGTTAAGCTAAGCTTTATGCATTAATTGTTTTATTCTGTCTGATCCTAGCCTTTAATCTACTTTTCCAAATAATAGAGTTGTCAAATGTGGGTGGCAGGAACTGCACATTTGCATGGAAGCAGGTAAAGGTCTTCACCATGAAATAAGTAGCTGAAGCACTGTGTGGATAAGTTCTTATGCTGGGAACGTCGTATAGGCCTGCAGCTCCATGCTAAGGAGGGGAGCTCATGTTCTGTGTCTGAACAAATGTTAGCCCAAAAGACAGTTTAACGCATAAGACTTTTACAGAAGTCTCATGACAAAGACACCCCCCTGCCCTGAAAATGTGTTTTTACAGGAAGAGTTTAACATTAGAGCGACCATGTCAGCTAGGCCAGTGCAAACGTCCGTGTAGCCTAGTATCCTCTTGCCAGGGGTGGTCAGCAGCAGATGCCCAAGAAACAGCACGAGGACAGGTTAACCACGTTGCCAGGCATCGGTCAGTTGGCAGTTCTGAACTTCCTGAGCTAGAGGTGGTTCCTTTGTGTTTAGTACCCCTCAATGGATTTCTTCTTCAGGGCATCTCTGATTCCTTTTTGAAATCTTACAGACTGTTTTTTGTAGGCATCCACAAAATCCATAGTCAAGAAGTTTCAGAATTTAGTTAGGTGTTGTGTAAAGGAAAACCTCTTGTTTTAACCTCTCCCTTCCCTCTCATTCCCATACTGGAAGAGACAGTGATGGTTGTTCCATGTTCATGTCCTTCAGGCTGCTCGTGATTTTGTATACCTGTCTCATGTCCACCCTCAGTAATCTCTTTTACAGGTTGAAAACTCACTACATGATTTGAAGACTATCAAAAGCATTGACGAGCTTTGAAAGTCAGTCCCTGCCAGGTGTTTCAGGGCATTCTTGTGGGATTTTTTAGATATAGGTCAGTGGAATTTTACTGTTCTGTATTTGTAGGTATTGTCACAAGCCTTCACTGCAAAAGCTGAATTGGAACAGGGACTTGAGGGAGAAAATACTTTGTATACTGGAAAAGGAGAAGATAATTTAACAATGGAAATGGCAGAGAAGAAAGTTAAAAAATTGGAAGAGAGAGGAGGCTCTAGGAGAGAATGTACAGTTAGTAGCACCAGGATTGCGTAGAAGTGCTGGAGAGCAGAGAGGTCTGGCTGATGCTGTGGAAAGCCTTTACAGGATGATAACAAACAGAAAGGAATATGGGAAGCAATTAAAGGAGAAAGGTTTGTCTATGTCAGACGCTCTCCCCTGCACACTGCCAAAGATCAGAGATCTTGTGTCTCTGCTGTTTGGTGATTAACAGTAAGAAACACTGGATCAACTAGTCTTGTGCCTAGGTTGCTTTTTTTTGTGCTCTTATGTAGGTGTATATGTTCTCATAACAATTTGCTGCTGTACTTTAAGTAGAGCTTCTCCTCCCCCATGCTGCGTGGTGCACCATGCCAGTGGCTTAGCTGGGTTACAGCAGTCTTGTTCTTGACAGGCAAGCCTTGGAAGCAGCTGTGTGACCGTCTGAGGTTTCTCTTTAGAAATGAATATCCACTCTTCTTTTCCATTTTCCTAGTGGTCTCCGACTTTGTTTTTCCCTTTTCTCTCTTTCTTCATCTTAGCTAATGGATTTTTTGGCATCTCTTTTAATCCCTTGCACTTTTCAGAGGGTCAGTAAGTTAATCCACCCTTGAAATGACTTTGATGAGGAAGGGGAAGCAACGCATTTCTCTTTCCTCAGAACTATAAACCAACTAATCTGAAGAATGAGGCAGAAGGTTTTAGGTCAGTTGAGGGTCTGGCTCAGTATTTGCCTTCAGTACCTCCCCTTTCCTTCCCTTGCCTCTCATGTTCTTTATCAATGGAGTTTGGACAGGCACAGTTGTGTGATAAAATTGCTCCCCAGCCAGTTGTTGCTTGAGCTTCCCGCAGGAGCGGGTATTCGGGCTGTATAGGTCATGTGGAATGAAGTTGAGGAACAGGGTTTTTCTTACGTATTTCTCAATCCTAATTAGTGGCTGTGGTAAAGTGGTAGTTTCCAAAGAGTGACTGGTCATTGTAATCCTGCTGGGATTGGGGGGTGAGCCAGATTGTACTCCTGTTGTCACGGCCCTGGAGCAGCATGCCATTTCCTGATTTACTCTTTCATATAGTGATTCATGGTGAACCTGGGTATTTTGTTTAATACAAATACATATTGCAGCCCTGTCTCCTTGAGTTGGCACATCCTTGTCTACTCCTACTCAGTAGGATTTATAGCTGTCCTTCCTTCCAGCTCCTCCTGTGGGTCAATGACTCTGTCACTGCTGCGCGAATGTCACTGTACAATGTTTTGAATAGTTTCCTAATGAAGAGTTACCAGTAATATGCCAGTTACTTTGGGTTCCCTCCTTTTAATTCTAGGTTGGGATTCTTAGAGAAGACATGGGACTTACTGTCCAGGTACTTCACAGTTGCTTCACTGGGAATTTTCCCTCTCTGGAGAGTCAATATATCAGCAAATGGAGAAATTAGAGAAGTATTCAGGCTTTGGCTACACTAGTTTGTTCTTGCCATGTCTCTGCTGCACCAGCTCTATCTAGGGGGTAGTGCAGGCTGTGAGGTGACTTACACATAGCCTTAGAACTTGACAAAGAATCAAAATGTCTCCTAATCCACAAAACGCGGCGTAGCTGACTATGCTTTTGAAGCAAGGAGGTGTTGGTTCTTTTTCCTTTCTGGAGGTTTTAGTAGTAATAAAATTACATTTGGAGCAAGGGCTCCAAAGAAATCGTATTGTCAAGCAGCTTTGTCAAGAAGGAGGGAGAGCTGGCGGACCAACATTGTATGCTGGAGATGGAGAATGCAAGAGCCATGGGGAGATGGAAATCATGATGGAAAAGGTGGCCCAAGAATTAAGATACCCAGCAGGATGTTGGGTATTGTCATGCTGTTGAAGTCCCTGCTCTGATGGCCTGGTCTGGGTCATTGTCTCTAAAGAACGTTAGTTCTCAAGTGTGTCTGGGTGGCATATCCATGGGGGAAATTATATGCCTGTGTGAAAACAGTTTGTCTTTGTTAGAGATATGAAACTGACCTTTTCCTCTCCTTGCCTCGTTTCCAGTCTCTGTCTGCTGCTGTCTCTTCATACTGTTTCTCTTCCTGTCTGAGCTCACCGGATTCATAGCCACTGAAATGTAAGTAAAAATCACGTTTTCCTTTATTTGAATGAATGTGTATATATGATTTTTTTTACAGCTTTACTCTGTTATCTTGGAAAAATGTGCTTGTAATTTCACTAAGTCAATTAGTTGACTAATAGTTTTTGGATTCCTTTTGGTTGAGTCCAAATTCTTAGTCATTCATTCAGTTTTTTAATTTACTAAAGTATGCTGAAATACTTCTGATTGAGAAAACAGTTCCAGACCTGTTTGATCCTTTATTAGCTGCATACTGGATTTCTATATTGAGCACAGTAGATATTTTTCATGTAATCACAGATCACATCAAAAGCTTCTGACCCTCTTCAGTTCTCTGGTGATCAGGTGTAAGGTAGCGTGAATGCTGAGATCAATGTCAGGCAGATGTAGTTTCATTCTTCCTCCTTAGGCTGTTGATTTCTTGTCCTCATCTGGGATTTGTTTCCCCTCTCCTCCTGAATAGGCACTTTCCTCTGTACTTATTTGATTCAAAGTGACTCTCAAAAACTAGTATATTTTTCATCAGGAATTCCTTATGTTTAAATGTCTGGTGCGTACTGGATGAATCACATGGACTGTGGGGTCCCGTTGCAGATATGATGGGATCTCTGACAAGACGTTTTCTTTTCCCCTCACTCCCCTGTGGATAACATGATTATCACGTTCTGCCAGTCTTCACTGGATGTTTTTGGAGATGCTTTTTGGAAAAGTGAATTGCATAAAATGTGTATGTTTATTAGTTCAATGTTAATAGTACCTTTTTTTGATGTCAGAGCTGAATCTCTGATAAATGCAGATAGCTTTACTCACGCGTGAGTTTAATCTTTCTTTTCACCTGTTGAGCCTTACTTGGAAATTTAGTTGACAGGTCTTGTGCCTGAAGACAGGTTGTCCCAGGTAAGCTCTTTGGGACCTTGCTTTGAGCAAAATGGAAATAATTTCAGCTTTAAAAAAGTTGCTCATGAAACAAGTATTTTAGTTAATCGGATTTTTTTCCTCTTCTCATGCTCCTCCTGCCTTGAAGTAAACTTTTCTTAGTAACTATTAACATAAGTACCTGTGTTTTGGGTTCTAGGAAACGTTCTCCATAATCCTGCTGACGTGCCAGTGAGGTCACTAGACTGTGATGCACAGTTCCTGGATAGTTAGGAAGGGTGGAACTTCTGTCAGACTTCCATGATGATCCAGATAGCAACAGATGTCACTGCTGAGGAAAAAAGCTCTGAAATGCCTTGGGCTCATGCGCCGTACTTTGATTGACCTTGCTTTACGTGGCCTCTGATAACCGTGTGGCTTTTTCATTGTTTTTGTGCAGCTCTAGCTTGGGTCAAGAACATAATTTCAAGAACAATTTTAACCTTGAGTAATGTTTAACCTTAAGACAGTAGTGTAATCTAGCTGTAGCTGATTTTTAATGCCCATTGCACACTTCAGAGATGGTATCGTCAGTTTCTTACTCACTCACTGTTTCTTTGACTTCAGTTCTGTGCTTTTGCTTGTAAAATACAAGGGTCACCTTCTCAACCCCTTTTCTCAGGAGCTGAGTTTTCTTGGTTTTCTTGTTTTAAAAACTAGAGAAAAGCTAAATAAATTGCTTCAAGTAAAATACTTTTTCTTGCTCCCCTCTTAGATCTCATTCTCTCATCTGTGTTGTTTTTTTTCTTTTAGTCAGTGCTTTACTAGAGGAGTTAGTAATATTTACCTAATTTTGATCCAATTATGTGAGTCCACATGCCTTTATGTAGTGGTAGTTTCCTGACTAGAGACTTCTTCCTGAACAGCAAAAGCATATGATTCTCTCAGACCTCTTCATGCTTTTTTCCTTAACAAGATGATGCATTTTCCGCAAAGATATTAGAGGTGCTGTAAGTTCCTGGATGCTTAGCTGACAAGTTTCTCATTAAAACCTCAGAGAGATGGTAAACTGCCTTTCCCAGCAGGAACTGTGTGGGGAGGAGGTGTTTGTAAACAATAAAGCAGTAAAATTTTAGAGAGGATGTCGTGGAAGAGACTGAGAGAAATGAATTCAGGAAACTGATTCGTCATGGACCATCCAACACAATAGCTTGTAGAATATGAAAACCTCCTTCTGATGAGTTACAGGTCATCAAAATCTCTCTTGCTGGGAATAGATCACCCACAGCATTTGTGAATAGGCTCCCCCTTTAACAGTGGAAATACTTCATAAAGTCACATAACAAAGTGCTTCCCAGTTCAGCAACTCCTAAAGTAGAAATAAACTTTTATTTTTCCATTTCTTACTCATTGCTTTCTCTTCTGGGAAGCTTAGTACCTTAAAGGTATTCAAAGATGTTGGTAACCACTCGTGCTTCCCTTTCAAGTGTGTATTACTGGCAGTGTGTTGCAAGGCAGCATAGTCTCATCGTTCAGAATACAGGTGCATAGAATCACAGAACGGTTTGGGTTGGAAGGGACGTTAAAGATCAAGTTCCACCCCCTGCCATGGGCAGGGACACCTCCCCCTAGCCCAGGTTGCTCAAAGCCTCGTCCAGCCTGGCCTTGAACCCCTCCAGGGATGGGGCATCCACAGCTTCCCTGGGCAACCTGGGCCAGTGCCTCACCACCCTCACAGGAAAAAGTTTCTTCCTAATATCTAATCTAAATCTGCTCTCTTTCAGCTTAAAGCTGTTGACCCTTGTCCTATCACTACACTCCCTGATCCAGAGCCCCTCCCCATCTCTCCTGTAGCCCCCTTTCAGTACTGGAAGGCTGCTCTAAGGTCTTCCCGGAGCCTACTCTTCTCCCAGCTGAACAACCCCAACTCTCTCAGCCTGTGCTTGTATGGGAGGTGCTCCAGCCCTCTGATCGTCTTTGTGGCTTTTGAGCCTTGTTTGTCCATGAATCAAATACTTTTTGAAGATATGGAAGATTCCTTATGAGCAAACTATTCAATTCCCTTCCGTTCTTATTGCAAGCTTCAAGTTTCTTTTGTATTATGAATCTCCTCCAAGGGATATCTCTCCCAGCATGAAGTTTCCTAGCATCAGCCAGGATCTGAATGGTTAACTAGAGTGTTCATTTGCATGGGGTGAGCTTTCCTGCTTTGCCAATGCCAGCTATACTATGAGACTGCAGCAGTCTTTCACCTCTTGTGTAATATTTCCCTTAAAGCAGTCATGAGCTTGACAAAAGCTGAATTGCATGGGGATAGCTGCTCATTTTTGATGTCAAGGTGAAATTGAGAGTACTTGGCCTGGTGCCTTACATCAGAGACGTAGCAGGTTTGCTGATGTGGACTCGTGCTTACCTCATAGCCCTATTATGCCGAGTAATTGTGCATGGTGTGTGTGCATCGACAGCCTGCTTCAGGGCAAATCAGCAACCTCAACAGCAGTAGTGCCCACAGGATTAACTGTCTAGCTCTCCCCAATGGGAGGTTGCTTTGGTATCGGCATCTAAAGTGAGAGGTTGGTGTGGTTTGTTGAACTCATGCTGTAACATGAGAAAATGGGCTCTGCTCTGCACTATGCTGACCCCTAATACTTGCTAGCTTCTGCCTGCTTCTTGGAACTTTCTTCTACATTCATATGACTGTAGCAACTTAAATTCCTGGTATTACTAGAAATCTCAGTTTGGTCACTCTTGCCCAACTTCAAAGCTGTTTGTCCTTGACCAGCCCATTGTCTTAGCATTTATAGTCTCAACTGCTAAAGACTTGTCTGGGTGGCAGAAGGCCAAGAAATTACACCCTCATCTTGAGGATAACAGTCATAACACTAAAACCAGATTACCTATGTAGGGAAGACAGTGTGCATCACAGTAGCTATGTCATAACTCGTGTGGGCATTTCTAATGAGCCCTAGGATTGCGTCTGTGCATGGGAGCTTACTTCAGTTCGGAAGCTGAACTAAGACACTGCGCGTTACAGCAGACACGCAGGAAGTTCGCGTGGCACAGGTAACACGCTATAAATGCATATCCTATTTTGCTGCTGACTAGCTTCCTGTGTAGACGAGCCCTGAGTAGGGTAGAAAGCTCCTAGTTTCTCATCTTCTAGATTTATTGCATGACCCTTGCAGGCAGTCTTCTGAGCAGCCATGAAGGAAATCAAAGCTTGGTTCTTAGGTGGGGCTACATCCTTTTCAGGAAAAGCACAGTGAAGGACTCGTGAGGAAAGAGGTTTTTCTTTCTTTGCTCAGCCACAACCCATCATTGCAGTCAAGGGGAGAGTGCATTTAACTCTGGAAATGAAGGATCTTCTTGGTTACTTTTTTTTTCCCCTGTTCAGACTGAGAGTGACTGAAGACTTGGTCCCAAACAAGAACCTAGTTTAACCTGCTCAATTCTGTAAAAGACAGATAAAATAAAGAAGGTCCATGCTCCACATCTGAACGTCTGCAAAATTGACAGTATCAAATACGGTTGTCCCACTGAGCAAATGACTCAAATGGCTGAAGAAATTAAGCTAAAGTGTTAAATGTGGCTGGTATTTCCTGGGCTGGATTGGTGGTAGGCTGAGAGTTGAAAGTAGATTGAGGGCTAGAAATTGCTCAGCATAGCTTTAGCAGCCTTCCTCATTCATCGTGCTGTTATGTTGCAAATCAAGAACGTAGAAATCACCTATCTCTTTTCTAATTAACTCAGATCAGTGCTAGAAGCTAATAGCTGCAAGATGATAATCTTGCAGTTTTATCACCATAATTAGGTCATGAATTATGTTCTGTAGGATCAATAAGAGTTTTCCAAGTATTCCATCATTAAGGAGGAAAGATGTAATTAACTAATGCCTTGCATTGGCAGCCAGGGACGGGGTAGGAGGGTATGAGTGTGATACTTGTGGTATGAATGTAACTGCTCAACAATAATTTGTCTGCCACAGCACACTGTAGAAAGCAACAGACCTTTCCTGGCAATGTTTTCTTTTTCTTTTTTTTTGTTGTAGTAAGAGGCAAAGAACAATCTGAAGTGACAAGTTTGACACTTGGAAGGCTGTCCCCCCCTGCAAGGGCACATGAGTGATGTCCAAATCATTTGTT